CCAATCTTCTCAAAACTCTGGATTCTGATAGAGGGCCATGAGACTTAGACCTGAGTGCAAAAATGGAGGCTCTAGACCCTTCCAGAGCTGAGATATCGAAACTCAAAATTTCGACCCGAAAAAAAAAACGACAGTGTTACCCCTTACGTTTTTTTTTTTTGGGCGAAAAATTAAGTATCCCCAATCTTCTCAAAACTCTGGATTCTGATAGAGGGCCATGAGACTTAGACCTGAGTGCAACAATGGAGGCTCTAGACCCTTCCAGAGCTGAGATATCGAAACTCAAAATTTCGACCCGAAAAAAAAAACGACAGTTACCCCTTACGTTTTTTTTTTTGGGGGCGAAAAATTAAGTATCCCCAATCTTCTCAAAACTCTGGATTCTGATAGAGGGCCATGAGACTTAGACCTGAGTGCAACAATGGAGGCTCTAGACCCTTCCAGAGCTGAGATATCGAAAATCAAAATTTCGACCAAAAAAAAAACGACAGTGTTACCCCTTACGTTTTTTTTTTGGGGGCGAAAAATTAAGTATCCCAATCTTCTCAAAACTCTGGATTCTGATAGAGGGCCATGAGACTTAGACCTGAGTGCAACAATGGAGGCTCTAGACCCTTCCAGAGCTGAGATATCGAAACTCAAAATTTCGACCAGAAAAAAAAACGACAGTGTTACCCCTTACGTTTTTTTTGGGGGGCGAAAAATTAAGTATCCCCAATCTTCTCAAAACTCTGGATTCTGATAGAGGGCCATGAGACATAGACCTGAGTGCAACAATGGAGGCTCTAGACCCTTCCAGAGCTGAGATATCGAAACTCAAAATTTCGACCCGAAAAAAAAAACGACAGTGTTACCCCTTACGTTTTTTTTTTTTGGGCGAAAAATTAAGTATCCCCAATCTTCTCAAAACTCTGGATTCTGATAGAGGGCCATGAGACTTAGACCTGAGTGCAACAATGGAGGCTCTAGACCCTTCCAGAGCTGAGATATCGAAACTCAAAATTTCGACCCGAAAAAAAAACGACAGTGTTACCCCTTACGTTTTTTTTTTTGGGGCGAAAAATTAAGTTTCCCCAATCTTCTCAAAACTCTGGATTCTGATAGAGGGCCATGAGACTTAGACCTGAGTGCAACAATGGAGGCTCTAGACCCTTCCAGAGCTGAGATATCGAAACTCAAAATTTCGACCCGAAAAAAAAAACGACAGTGTTACCCCTTACGTTTTTTTTTTTGGGCGAAAAATTAAGTATCCCCAATCTTCTCAAAACTCTGGATTCTGATAGAGGGCCATGAGACTTAGACCTGAGTGCAACAATGGAGGCTCTAGACCCTTCCAGAGCTGAGATATCGAAACTCAAAATTTCGACCAGAAAAAAAACGACAGTGTTACCCCTTACGTTTTTTTTTTTGGGCGAAAAATTAAGTATCCCCAATCTTCTCAAAACTCTGGATTCTGATAGAGGGCCATGAGACTTAGACCTGAGTGCAAAAATGGAGGCTCTAGACCCTTCCAGAGCTGAGATATCGAAACTCAAAATTTCGACCCGAAAAAAAAAAACGACAGTGTTACCCCTTACGTTTTTTTTTTTTGGGCGAAAAATTAAGTATCCCCAATCTTCTCAAAACTCTGGATTCTGATAGAGGGCCATGAGACTTAGACCTGAGTGCAACAATGGAGGCTCTAGACCCTTCCAGAGCTGAGATATCGAAACTCAAAATTTCGACCCGAAAAAAAAAAACGACAGTTACCCCTTACGTTTTTTTTTTTTGGGGGCGAAAAATTAAGTATCCCCAATCTTCTCAAAACTCTGGATTCTGATAGAGGGCCATGAGACTTAGACCTGAGTGCAACAATGGAGGCTCTAGACCCTTCCAGAGCTGAGATATCGAAAATCAAAATTTCGACCAGAAAAAAAAACGACAGTGTTACCCCTTACTTTTTTTTTTGGGGGGCGAAAAATTAAGTATCCCTAATCTTCTCAAAACTCTGGATTCTGATAGAGGGCCATGAGACTTAGACCTGAGTGCAACAATGGAGGCTCTAGACCCTTCCAGAGCTGAGATATCGAAATTCAAAATTTCAACCAGAAAAAAAAACCACAGTGTTACCCCTTACGTTTTTTTTTTTTTGGGCGAAAAATTAAGTATCCCCAATCTTCTCAAAACTCTGGATTCTGATAGAGGGCCATGAGACTTAGACCTGAGTGCAACAATGGAGGCTCTAGACCCTTCCAGAGCTGAGATATCGAAAATCAAAATTTCGACCAGAAAAAAAAACGACAGTGTTACCCCTTATGTTTTTTTTTTTGGGCGAAAAATTAAGTATCCCCAATCTTCTCGAAACTCTGGATTCTGATAGAGGGCCATGAGACTTAGACCTGAGTGCAACAATGGAGGCTCTAGACCCTTCCAGTGCTGAGATATCGAAACTCAAAATTTCGACCCGAAAAAAAAAACGACAGTTACCCCTTACGTTTTTTTTTTTGGGGGCGAAAAATTAAGTATCCCCAATCTTCTCAAAACTCTGGATTCTGATAGAGGGCCATGAGACTTAGACCTGAGTGCAAAAATGGAGGCTCTAGACCCTTCCAGAGCTGAGATATCGAAAATCAAAATTTCGACCCGTAAATAAAACGACAGTGTTACCCCTTACTTTTTTATTTTTGGGGCGAAAAATTAAGTATCCCTAATCTTCTCAAAACTCTGGATTCTGATCGGTGTTAACCATAACCTTTTAAATACTCGACCTAGTTCCATTGCTTGGCAACGGGAAGAAACTCCTGTAACTTCTGTGCCCAACCCGTATCACGACAAGACGTGAAATAATCATGTTGGTCCACTTTGGAAAACGTGTAGATGTCACGGTTTAGTTTAAACTCAAAACCATAAATAGGGCTATGCTGCCCTCTTGTGTCAAATTATATTTTTATATTTATTTTTCCAACAAATAAAACCAAACCGTCAATAAAAATCCATTCAATACACCTTTGAACTCAACAGATTCAGTGGCTCAATTAATAAAGCGTTGGGCTTAAAGCAAGAAGACCTGAGTTCAAATCCCATTCTTGCTTACGTTAAATTGTTGTGATTATATCAAACAAAGTGGCCAAAACAACATTTCTTCAACCGGGTATCACGACAAGACGTGAAATAATCACGTTGGTCCACTTTTGAAAACCTAGATGTCACGGTTTAAACCCCCTCAAACGTGAAACTTACACTTAAACTGAAACTTACCATCACGACCTATTGTTTTTCATTAAACCGAGAAAAATTGAATTTTGTTTTATTGACGATCACGGAGAAATGGTCTATTATTTAAAATGCAAAAAACATTTATTATTTTCAAGGTGAACAGGATTAATTTGCCTCGATCCACGGCGAAAAAAACGTCTAAATGTCACATTTTTAATGAAGCAGCCTAAATAGTCCACTTTGGAAAATGTGTAGATGTCACGGTTTAACCCCCTCAAACGTGAAACTTACACGTTTGCGTTAACACGCTCCAGTGGAGAGATATCCAGATGTTATTCGCCTCTGCCATAACGACCTATTCATTAAACCGAGAAAAATGGAATTTTGTTTTATTTACGATCACTGAGAAATGTTCTATTATTTAAAATGCAAAAAAAAAAAAAAACATTTATTATTTTCAAGGTGAAAAGGATTCATTTGCCTGGATCCACGCCAAAGAAAACGTCTAAATGTCACATTTTTAATGAAGCAGCCTAAATATTCAGCTTTGGAAAATGTGTAGATGTCAGGTTTTCATTAAACCGAAAAAATGAAATTTTGTTTTATTTAGGATCACTGAGAAATGTTCTATTATTTAAAATGCAAAAAAAATAATAATAATAAATAAACAAATTATTATTTTCAAGGTGAAAAGGATTCTTTTGCCTGGATCCACGCCGAAGAAAACGTCTAAATGTCACATTTTTAATGAAGCAGCCTAATGAGTAAAATGTCTATTTTCTTGGGCGTCCCCCAGCTCCTCGTTTAAGCAAAAGGTACGCTAAAACAACGTATTACATCGACGTTAAACCACGTTAACCGTGTTAACCATAACCTTTTAAATACTCGACCTAGTTCCATTGCTTAGCAACGGGAAGAAACTCCTGTAACTTCTGTGCCCAACCCGTATCACGACAAGACGTGAAATAATCATGTTGGTCCACTTTGGAAAATGTGTAGATGTCACGGTTTAGTTTAAACTCAAAACCATAAATAGGGCTATACTGCCCTCTTGTATCAAATTATATTTCTATATTTATTTTTCCAACAAATAAAACCAAACCGTCAATAAAAATTCATTCAATACACCTTTGAACTCAACAGATTCAGTGGCTCAATTGATAAAGCTTTGGGCTTAAAGCAAGAAGACCTGAGTTCAAATCCCATTCTTGCATACGTTAAATTGTTGTGATTATATCAAACAAAGTGGCCAAAACAACATTTCTTCAACCCGGTATCACGACAAGACGTGAAATAATCACGTTGGTCCACTTTTGAAAACGTGTAGATGTCACGGTTTAACTCAAAACCATAAATAGGGCTATATTGCCCTCTTGTGTCAAATTATATTTCTATATTTATTTTTCCAACAAATAAAACCAAACCCACAATAAAAGCACATCCAGTACACCCTTTAACTCCTATCTTATTTCAGGTTAGGAAATCATATCGCTAGCATCAATGTTTCTGTCTAACTTTAGCTACCTATTGTAACCGATGTCACTTTTCATCTCGCGAGCTTATACTGCTTTTAATCGGCGTTTTTTTTTTTAATAAAACATACACTGAAAATGGAGAATTAACATTGCAGTCATGTGATTTAGTCAGCTTTATTAACATTATTATAATATATTACTACTTAACACAGATGTTATTTGCTAATTACATAAACTATAAGCTCAATTCATTAGTATAAATATATATTTAGTATATAAATATATATTTATAAATATATATTTAGTATAACATTTTTAAGTATATATATTTGTATGGTCCTCGAATGTGTTCAAATATTTCACCAGTATCAGCCTTTTCACAATTTGCTTGTCTGTGTTTGCCCAACTTGCATTATTAAGTAAGTCAGTAGGTGGCGACAAGTGACTGTCTTTATGAGTGAACAATTTAACTTTAACTTAACAGATTAGTGCCAAAAAAAATGGATTAGCATTTATATATACCAATAAGTTAATATACACCATATATGAATATACAATATATAATATATACTAATAAGTATATAAGTTAGCATGTAGCCAAGCCACATATGATCCTCAGTTGTTTGCTGTCATCTGGGCCATATACCTCAAAACAAATGATGATCCAAAAGAAAATTCCCTACAAACCCATGGCGAAACATATATGGTGAAAGTTTGGCCCACATTTGCTCAGCCATGCCAAATCTACAGATGTTTGCCCCAAAATTTCTTGCCATCTGGGTCTGATTCGGCTATATCCCCCTCAGATTTGAGAAACATTGTCCGAGTGCTGAAACTCCTGTCATTTCTTCTTTTCACCTGATCAGTGTACATATATAGAAATTGAGCAGGTGTCTCAGACGAATGCGGTGGTGCTGAGTCGCCCCGCCTGGCTGTGGGGGGCGGAGATGGGGGCGAACCAGCATCAGGTGTGCGTCGGGAATGAGGCGGTCTGGGGGAAGGAGAGTGCGGAGGGGGAAGAGGCTCTTCTGGGCATGGATCTCGTCAGGTGATCCAAGAGACAATTTCTCAATTCATATTCAGCATTGACTAATTTATTCAACCACTACAATTCAGAATAATTTTAATAATGTATGTAATGTATATGTGTTTATATGGGACATAAAAAAACTTTTTTTTTATTGAAAACCAACCATATTGTACAAACGAAAGCACATATAACCAAACATGCCAGGGTTATAATATAGAAAAAAAGATTAAAGGAGTAGTTCACTTTTAAAAAAAACTTCTGCTGATAATTTACTCACCCCCATGTCATCCAAGATGTCCATGTCTTTCTTTCTTCAGTCGAAAAGAAATTAAGGTTTTTGATAAAAAAAATTCTAGCATTTTTCTCCATATAATGGACTAATGAATAAGGGTTTTATCAAGCGAAACGATCACTCATTTAAAATAAATAAATAACAAAGTTTAAGTTTTATAAGCTCAAATGCTCGCCTTGCTCTGTTTTGTGATGCGTGTTCATGACTCTCCTGTTCAAACTCGTTCATCAAAATGAATGAATCTTTTTCGAGTCATTTTGTTCATTCCGTTCTTTGAATGAACCAAATGACTCTAAAAAAGATTAGTTCATTTTGATGAACGAGTTTGAACAGGAGAGTCATGAACAGAACAGAGCAAGGCGAGCATTTGAGCTTATAAAACTTAAACTTTGTTATTTATTTATTTTAAATGAGCGATCGTTTCGCTTGATAAGACCCTTATTCATCGTCTGGAATCGTTTAAAGCCCTTTGAACAGTTTGTAGTCTGCACTGAAACTCTCATTTGGACCTTGAACCGTTTGGTTCCCATTGAAGTCCATTATATGGAGAAAATCCTGGAATGTTTTCATCAAAAACCTTAATTTCTTTTCGACTGAAGAAAGAAAGACATGGACATCTTGGATGACATGGGGGTGAGTAAATTATCAGCAAAAGTTTTTTTAAAAAGTGAACTACTCCTTTAAACTTTATTAGTAACTTTGTAACTTTATAGTTACATTTTACTTACTCAAATAAGTACTGAGTAATATTAATTATGGAGTTACGGTTAGGGTTTGGTTTAGGGTTAGTTGCTATTTTATTTGTGCAAGTTTCTTAATAAAGGTCTTAAATGCGATTTGAAACCCTTTGTATGTAGACTGGCGCTGGAGAGGGCCAACACTGCTGAGCGGGCTGTAGATGTGATCACAGAGCTGCTGGAAAAATACGGCCAGGGCGGGAATTGTATGGAGGACGAGTGTGGATTCACATACCATAACAGCTTCATCATATCAGACCGCACTGAGGCCTGGGTGCTGGAGACTGCTGGGAAATACTGGGCCGCAGAGAGAGTGGAGGGTAAATACTGAGTCGTGTGACATTACAGCTTAAAAAAGTCAGGTCCGGTTTATTTATATGGTATAAAGGCAGCTCAACAAAAGAGAATAGTGTGATTGTTCAGCTCAAGTTCAGTTCATTAACTGTGCCAGTAGCTAATTTGCTAAGTTGCGAATAAAGCAGCGTTTTCATTCCATATGTTGCAGAGAACATAATCGTCACTTCCTTTTATAAAAATGGAAGTTGCTGCAATCGGGGAAGCCACTATGGCTCTTTTATCCTTCATCAGAAATAGGGCTGTGATACGATTAAAGGGTAACTAAACCCCTGGTCAGAGCCTGACTCCACCCACTGGCAATATTTGAAAATGCTGAAAAAGTGGCCTGACCCCAACGGAGATAGAGGGGTAAAAATAGATGCTAAAACACTCTATCCTGATCGTTTTTAATACTCACAATTCCAATTCCTGACTCCCTACAGTGGTTTTGACGACACAAGATGGTTTTTAAACTGCCAAGGGCGTAGCTCGCGTGGTGAGCTGAAACCTGCGTACGTCACGAAGTGCGGAACATCCAATAGGAAAATTCAACTGCAGTAGCCACCGTTCAACCTGAAGAGGGCAGCACTAAGACATTGTTACACCATATATTGTAGAAATAAAACACTTTATAAACAAATGTCAAAAAAGTTACTCGAATCAATGACTGGTATTAATAAAGATCCATTCTTACAGATCATTAACTAAAAAAAGTTGGTTTAGTGTTTAGTTACTCTTTAATCACGATTAATCGCATCCAAAATAAAAGTTTGTGTATAAAAGGGTGTATAATTATTTTGTATATATAAATACACACACATGCATGTATATATTTAAGAAAAATGTGTTATTAATATATCAGATATTTATATTTATGTATAATATACATTTTGTATAAATATATATAAAGTATATACATGCAAATATTTCTTAAATATATACATGCATGTGTGTGTATTTATATATACTAAATAATTATACACACTACACACATATATTATGTAAACACAAACTTTTATTTTGGATGCGATTAATCGTGATTAATCGCGATTAATCGCTTCACAGCCCTAAGAGCATGTGACAAAACGCAATAAAGTTCTCTTGCGTTCGGATGCTGGTATTTGTGAACACAATTGCGTTTTATTGCACAATTGTGAACACAAAAGACGATTCTGGAAGGGGATTTAACCAAATCTTGATGTTAGATCTTGTTGGTTCGGGCATTTCAGAACAATCAAACCAACATCTGAGATGCTGTGATGTGATTGGTCCACTGGTTAGTCCAGTTATCCAATCAATCTTCTGCTGAGGCAAAGTCATGCGAGTCTGTTGTTGTGCATCAAGGGATTTATTCGGTAAATGTGTTTCCATCGCAGTTTAAGTCTTATCAGATAAAAAAAATTATTCACCTCACTTGAACACATCTTTTAATTTTTTTTTTTTTTTTTTAAATTAGGTGGATGGAAAAATAGCTAATGTTGCATCAATTTCATGATGATGAAAGTATTTTCTTTCATTATGAAAGTATTTTGATCCATTTGTAAGCAGCTCCACAGAAGACAATAGCATCGTTATTGAGCTCATATCAGTTCAGTGCAGATGTTGCAAAGATCAGATGAATTCAGTTAAAATGTTCACATCCGACAGTGTCAGTTAATATTTCTGACAATATTGCTGAATATTAATTGTCGCTGTTTCTCTCTCTTAAAGCCGGCTATCGGAACATCTCCAATCAGTACTCCATTACTACTAAGATTGATCGGGAGCACCCGGAGTTGAGGACGTATGCACAAAAGCAGAGCTGGTGGGACGGAAAGGCTCAGTTCAGCTTTGCCGAGGTGTACTCGTACTCAGCCACGGCCCGAATCGAGGCCGCAGGGGGACGATACTGTGAGGGACGCAAACTTCTACAGAAGAGCGAAGGTTACTATTAATTTATGGATATAATTTAGGACTGTCAAACGATTAATCGCGATTAATCGACACCAAAATAAAAGTTTGTGTTTACATAATATATGCGGGTGCACTGTGTATAATGATTTTGTATATATATATATATATAAATACACACATATGCATGTATATTAAAGAAAAAAAATATTATTTAGTATATAAATTATATATAAATCTATATAAAGTATATACATGAACATATTTCTTAAATATATACATGCATGTGTGTGTATTTATATATACAAAATAATTATACACAGTGCACCCGCATATATTATGTAAACACAAACTTTTATTTTGGATGCGATTAATCGTGATTAATCGCTTGACAGCCCTAATAAAATTATTTACAAATGTACTTATAGATAATTTATTCACATTATTTATTGAATTAAAAACTCACAGACAAGTTGTTAGACAGTTATGTCATTAAAACATTGTACTCACAGGCCACATCACAGCAGAGACTATGATGGATATTTTGAGGAATAAGGAAAGCGGGATCAACATGGAGGGAATGTTCATGACCACAGGAAGTATGGTGTCAGTCGTCCCCAAAGACCCAGATTTACCTGGTGTCCACTTCTTCACGGCCACTCCTGATCCTGAACGGTACGCTAGGCTAGCTGATATTCAGAAGTCAAAGCTATAGTACAGGGCAGTTCTGACTTATGTTTTTCTTCTGAATTATTTACGTGTGTCATATGTAACTTTAGATTAGACATGATTTATAATACAAATTGTGAATTATTATAAAAAATAGTATGATTTGTAATGATATTTAACCATTCGTTAATAGCTTGGAGTAATTACAGGTACACTTTGTAACTTTTGGCCCTCTAGTGGGTGAAAAACAAAACTGCATGCTAGGGATGCACCGATATGACAATTTTGGCCGATACCGATAATTGCCATATTTAAAAGCCGATAACCGATATATTGGCCGATAAATCTAAATCCACATTTTTAGAAAATTTTTGAGAGCCTGATTATAAAAAATGTCTCCTCATTAAAAGCCAAGATACAAGCACAATTATCATGTTCTTATTTTAATGTTGTGTAGCCGATATGACAGACTTGCACTGCACATTTTGCACTTTAACTGGATTTTCCGTTTTTAAAGGGATTTCAATCGTATTTCAAGGAATTTAAAAGCATCATGTTGAACAATGCGCATCTAAAGTGCCTCAGCTGAAGGATATAATACATTATTTATCAGCTTTTAGATTTCAGCTAAATGTTCTTGTTGGGCCGATAACGATAACATTAAAAATGATGATATATCGGCCGATACCGATAATGTGGCCGATATATCGTGCATCCCTACTGCATGCATTTTGTGGAAGAACGTTGTTTTGGTTGTGCTTCTGCTCTGGGTGACTGTGCTAGTGAAAATTGTTAACCTGCTAATCATAAAACATTCACTATAGGCTTAAGAGATATAAACAGTTTAGATTGAAAGATAGAAAGATCTCAAGCTGACTAGCTGAAGACGTTACAGTAGCTTTACCCATTAATAGACACGGTACTTCCTTGAAAATAAATTCCAGCACAGCACTACAACAATGAAATGAGCCTTCATAATAGATAATACAGAAATGACGAGACACTATGGAAGCGTATTTCCGCCACTGAATAAATAAAATAAAAAAATAATTGTGACTTTTTATCTCACAATTTTGAGATATGAAGTCAGAATTGTGAGAAATAAAATCACAATTGCGAGATATAAAGTCGCAATTCTGAGAAATAAAGTCGCAATTCTGAGAAATAAAGTCGCAATTCTGAGAAATAAAGTCGCAATTGTGAGAAAAAAGACTATCTCACAATTCTGACTTTTTTCAGAAGTGCGAGTTTACATCTCGCAATTCTGACTTTATAACACATAATTGCGAGTTTATATCTCAAAATTCTGACATCTTTTCACAGAATTGTGAGATATGAACTTGCAATTGCAAGTTATCAGGCCAATTCAAAGAGGGAAAAGACTTTTTTCCCCTCAGAATTAAATATCTCACAATTTTAACTTTACAACACGCAATTTCGACTTTATATAATGCATTTCTGACTTTATAACACGCAATTGCGACTTTATATCAATTATGACTTTATATCTCGCAATTCTGACTTTAGAACACGCAATTGCGACTTTATATCAATCAATTCTGACTTTATATCACGCAATTCTGACTTTATATCTCGCAATTCTGACTTTATATCTTGCAATTCTGACTTTATAACAGCAATTGCGACTTTATATCTCGCAATTCTGACTTTATATCACGCAATTGCGAATTTATATAAATCAATTCTGACTTTATATCTCGCAATTCTGACTTTATAACAGCAATTGCGACTTTATATCTCGCAATTCTGACTTTATATCTCGCAATTCTGACTTTAGAACACGCAATTGAGACTTTATATCAATTCTGACTTTATATCTCACAATTCTGACTTTATATCTCGCAATTCTGACTTTATAACAGCAATTGAGACTTTATATCAATTCTGACTTTATATCTCACAATTCTGACTTTATATCTCGCAATTCTGACTTTATATCTCGCAATTCTGACTTTAGAACACGCAATTGAGACTTTATATCAATTCTGACTTTATATCTCACAATTCTGACTTTATATCTCGCAATTCTGAGAAAGTCAGAATTGTGAGATAAAAAGTCGCAATTACATTTTTTATTTTTCATGTAGTGGCGGAAACAAGCTTCCATAAGACACGCACAGGCGAGTGATGTATGTGCACGAATTTGCCACGAACACCATCCCGCATTGTCTTAGAAAAATGTTCTTTACAGACAACATCCCCAAAATCCCCATTCAAAACATTGTGTAAAGTTCCCGCTCAAATAAAAAAAAACAAAAATGATGTGTTTTGAACCATTCATTTAGCTACGTTTTGGCATATTGGGGGCATGAAAAGGCAAACTTTTGGAAATGGGATTCATAGTGAAGTTTCTGAAAACGATACTGTTACGATCACCATGTAAACTACAAAAACGTGTTTAGTTTATAGGGCGCAGTGACATCGCCATCTACTGGCCTGGAAGCAGAATACAGCATTTTTCAGCCGTTTCATGGATCCATCTGAACGGGATCATTTTGATGATGTTGTCGTTTGTATTTGAAAACCGCAAAGGAGAAAAAAAACGTTATAAATAATTTTATGAAATTTCAAATATATTACATTTTTAAATATATTCAAATAAAAAAACAATTGTTTTAAATTGTAATAATATTTCACAATATTACAGTTTTTACTGTATTTTAGATCAAATAAATGCAGCTTTGGTGAGTAGAAGAGACTACTCTAAAAACATTAATAAACTATAATTATTCCAAACTGTTGACCAATAGTATTACTCATTCTAGTGGTTTTTGCTTTGGCAAGCTTTGCTATTATTGTTGGACAATATTATCATTGAAATTGACTCCAAAAATCGAATGACTTTTATCTTTAACTTCATGAAGCTGTATTACTTCAAATTCCATGTTTTTGTCCCCCCACAGGTCTGTCTTTAAGCCGTTTATATTTGTATTAGACATAAAGCAGCTGAAGCACACATGTTCTCCATGTTTTGGAGAAGAGGATCCTGTGAAGAAGAAGCCCCGTTTCCAGAGCAAACCGAACCGCAAACACCCTCTGTTCCTGAAGCATGAGGGGGTCGCCGCCATCATCGACAGCACCATGGTGAGCTGTGTGTGAATGTCAAAGATCAACACAGTTTTAAAGATCAAATCAAACCGTTTCAGACACAATGAGAAAAGAGCTGATGCTGCTATGCATGTTTCAAGAAAATTAAAGGTTTTTGTTTTTTTTTACCTTGGCTGCATGTACACCTGTTAGAGGACTTGCAAAATAGAATGAAGAACCTGTAAAATAGCATAAATTCACATGTAAAGTGGTTAGCCAATCATAACAAAGGCCATTAACATGGTAAAAATCTTAAAGGTACAGTAGCCAAAACAGTTTGTTGTGGAGAGATGGTGGGAAATTGTCATGAAAAATAAATGGTAAATGTTGTGCAGGAGTCCAATATATGGCATTTTTAATATAAAGATGTTTGTTTGTTTGTTCAGGAGAGTGGACAGAAGATTGAAGAGAAAATGAGAGATCTGGAGAAGAGGAAGTTGGCAGAGATGGAGAAATATCTAACAGAGGGGATTGAGGATTCAACACTGCTGGTTCATCTCTTTACAGACACTGTAACTGAGGAGATGGATATTTACAGTAACCTCTGAGACTTAGTTTAGAATTTAATTATTATTATTTTAATAGGATTATTGGATGTTTCTTCAACTATAGGCACTTTTGGGACCTGTGGAACACACTTTTTACACTGTTAATTTCACTAAGTAATGTATCTTGATTTAAGAATCTTTAGACCTTTGCACTGGAAAACAAGACAAGACTACTGAAAAAGAAAAGAGTGATCAGTAAACGATAATTCTGTTTGGGAGCAGAACTATTCAAACTTTTTTCTTTTTTTTCATAAAATGAATTAAAGTTATGGAGATCTGTTGGAAATTGTATTTTCAAAATTTGAAGTGTTGCTAATACAACTTATTGTGCTTCCTAGGCATTTACATTTAGAGAACAATATTGATACATTTTATGTTCCCTTCAATTTATTTTCTTTAATTGGTCTTAAAGGAGTAGTTCACTTTTGAAAAAACTTTTGCTGATAATTTACTCACCCCCATGTCATCCAAGATGTCCATGTCTTTCTTTCCTCAGTCGAAAAGAAATTAAGGTTTTTGATGAAAACATTCCAGGATTTTTCTCCTTATAATGGACTTCCATGGGAACCAGGTCCAACCGAGGTCCAAAAGACAGTTATAACAGTTTCAGATGCAGCTTCAAATGTCTTTAAACGACACCAGACGATGAATAAGGGTCTTATCATGCGAAACGATCGCTTATTTCAAAAATGCTAGCCTTGTAATATATTGTGAGGCGCGTTTGCAACGTCACGTAATACGTAATTACGTTCAAAAGGTCACGGGCGACGTAGCCGGAAGTACAGAATCAAAATCGTCCGACATCGTTGTTTTACCTTTTAATTCCTTTTTTGTAAACGGCGTTTGAGTTAGTTTTCACGTTCAACCTATGCGTTCAACTTGTAAACACTCTGACTCTGTACTTCTGGCTACGTCGCCCGTGACCTTTTGAACGTAATTACGTATTACGTGACGTTGCAAACGCGCCTCACAGAATGGAGAAAGGCTAGCATTTGTCCTTAGAAAAGTTACATTTTTGGAATAAGCTTTGAAATAACCGATCGTTTCGCATGATAAGACCCTTATTCATCGTCTGGTGCCGTTTAAAGACATTTGAAGCTGCATCTGTAACTGATTTGGATCTTGAACCGTTTGGTTCCCATTGACGTCCATTATATGGAGAAAAATCCTGGAATGTTTTCATCAAAAACATTAATTTCTTTTCAACTGAGGAAAGAAAGACATGGACATCTTGGATGACATGGGGGTGAGTAAATTATCAGCAAAAGTTTTTTCAAAAGTGAACTAATCCTTTAAATTTACCTTCATAAAACCTGCCGAAACCATGTAAAGCCATATGGTTACAAATAAAACCCAAGACACTTTTAATGTGACCTTAATAACTTCATATGTTGAAATCTCACCCCCTCAGATATAAAAGTTCCCACAGTTGAAGAAACACCCTCATATCTCAGCTAGAGGAGAGATCATTTGCACAATCTTTCAGGCAATTCCTGTATGTTTGGACATCATTTTAACAATATACTCAAAACCATTGACAAGTTAGGTCACATTGTCATTCCTGACATGTTAAATAAGTAGATTTTAGAGTGCATGTTAAAGATCTCAAATATCATATGCAAACCAGACAGTTAAATAATGAATTCCAAAGGATTAACTTTGGGAAATGTGTGAACTGGAAGTTGGCAGAACTTACTAACTGTATCTGTCCACTCAATTCAAGTGGAAAACAAACAAAATAATAATAAAAATCCTCAACACTCATTAAAGTCCATTCCACAATCACAATGAGCTTGTCTTTATCATTATTTCATGGACTTGCGGACTACAGACTGCAGTGTTCAAAGGAGAGCTGGTAAATGAGATGCCGAAAGTATTGTAGTCACGGATCAAAAAACAAAAACAAAAAAACAATGAAAAATATATTAAATCAAACTGGAAAAGAAAATTCTGCAATTATCAGAATAGCAAACAACATTGTCATGGATTAAAATACAATTGTAGTGAGGTGAACTCCCCTCTTCGATTGATTGGCTGTCAATCAATAAGTAATGGACCAACGGTGATGCTTAAACCCTCCCTAATTTACATGAAACTGGAACTGTAACATTTGGAAAAGCAAGTTTGGAAAAATAGCGAAAAAAACAGTACAAGCTTACAAAAGAGTAAAATAAGAGCAGAAAATGTAAGGAAAGGTAGTAAACATTCTTCATTAATGGTGAGGCAATACCAACAGTTTCTGAGAAGCCAGTGAAGAGTCTTGGGAGACGGTACAATGGGGATCTAAAGGACACAGTTCGAGTGGGAGAAGTTAGACGGCAAGCAGTGGAAGGGTTGAAGAGCATAAACAGCTGTGCTCTACCAGGCAAGCTAAAACTCTGGTGCTTTCAGTTTGGTCTACTGCCGAGGTTGCTGTGGTCACTGACTGTGTACGAGGTTTCTTTGTAGTAGAGGTCCTTGGTAAGATTTGTGTGCACTTTATTTAGCTGAGAATATCTCAACTGTTCTAGACTAATATGAAGAACGTGGGATGAACAACATGGGATGTGTGCCAAAATCTCTTTAAAGGGATAGTTCACCCAAAAATGAAAATTCTGTCAGTATTTACTCACCCTCATGTTGTTCCAACCCCGTAAGACCTTCGTTCATCTTCAGATCACAAATTAAGATATTTAAGATATTAAGATCACTCCTGCATACAGTCCATAGGCTTCTTGAGGGAATGACAATTGATGGCCTCAAAGTCATTAAAGACATCGTTAAAATAGTCCAAGTGACTACAGTGGCTCAATTTTAACTTTATCAAACGACGAGAACACTTTTTGTGCGCAAAAACAAACAAAAATAACGACTTTATTTCAATTATTCACTTCCTTCTCCATGAGCCTGTAGTCAGTTAACGTAGTGTGATTGCGTAGAGCTACGTCACACGTAGGCTCACTATTGGCCGACGCTGGTCATGTGTGTGATGCGTGTGACGTACAATAACAGAAGCTTACACTGTTAAACTAGTAACCTGACTCACGCAGAGGGAGAAATAAACGAATAGTTGAAAAATAAAGTCGTTATTTTTGTTGTTTTTTTGCGCACAAAAAGTGTTCTCGTCGTTTGATAAACTTAAGATTGAGCCACTTGGACTATTTTAACGATGTCCTTTAATGACTTTTCGAGGCCAGCAAGTGTCATTCCCTCAAGAGGCCTACGGACTGTATGCAAGAGCGATCTTAATATCTTAAAATATCTTAATTTGTGTTCCGAATATGAATGAAGGTCTTACGGGGTTGGAACAACATGAGGGTGAGTAAATACTGACAGAATTTTCATTTTTGGGTGAACTAACCCTTTAATTTGTTTTTTTTTGGAATTCATATTTCGTAAAACATTTGGTATATTCCAACATATTTGAAAAAAAAAAAAAAACAGCTCAAAATTACTTAGTTTGTCTTGACTACAACCCATTACTTATAATTTGTTAAAAATGCAGTACCTATATGATAGTTTAACTGTTTATCTAAATGTGATGAAGAGCTTGAATGTTTCTAACATGTATGTTGTCCAGCATCATGAATGAATGAAGAATAAACACCAACCTCTTTGTTCTTCAGGATCTTCAGTGTGTTTCATTTTGCAGGGTTCTGGATCACACATGCTCTCACTGTCCTCTTTAATAAACTCAGTCTTCACAGATTTCAGCTCTTCCTAATGCTCTGATGCTCGTCTTCACTTGTAGCTGATGGAAATTTACAGCATTTATTGGAGAAGTGCAGTGGGAGGAGCTTCGCTGATGATGTGATTGCTGTGGGAGGAGCTTCAATGATGATGTTACTGTGGTGGGAGGAGCTGATCTGCCAAACTAAAAATATAAAGTTACAGAGTTTGTTTTTATAATAAATAACAAGTCTACGCATTTATGTCTTCTTTCTATCTATTACTAATTAGTTAGATATTACTATTTAAGTAACTGTTGCTAATTGTTAAATTGTATTTATTGCTATTCATTACACTATGCTACTTCATTAAATACAGGTAGTGGGAGGAGCTTCACTGATGATGTGAATATCTTAATAGCTTAAATTATTCTAAATATAAATAATGGTAAGAAACACAGTTAAAATCATAGACACAGAAATCAAGGTATATAGTAGCCACCAAATCCCCCCAGTCTGCTGACACCAATGAAATGACATGAGATCTGAAGACATCAGCATAATAAACGAGGTGAAAACAGGAACTATTGTCATTAAATAAAGAGTGTTTTCAGCAGATCTGTTAATATTGATGATCCTCAGACTATCAACACTCATTCAACAAGACATTCAGGATCATCAGCAGATCATCTCACTTTATTCTGAATGTTTGCTGTTATAAACACATTATTTGAGTCAGGATAGATGATCCAAGCCTATAAACTGCTCTATAGGAAAACTTTATAAAGTTTGATTTAATGAACTACATTCATCACAATAAAATAATACGATCATTCAAATGTGCAGAAACTGAAAACAAACTTTTAAATATAAAGAGCACAACAACAATATTATTCCAAGTGTAATAAATACAATGTTATTTATGCAGACTGATCTCATGAAGTAGCGTGTGACGTGCTATCAAGACGCATAATCGCTTTTCAGCGTGTTTATGAACGCCGTTGACTTAACGTTATATAAATATATGACTTACCTCAACCCCGTCCCTAAACCTAACCGTCACTGGGGTTAATGGCATTTATGACTGTTCCCTTCCCAGACAGCAAACTGACATTGAATCAACGTGGAAACGACGTCTCTCATGACATTGAAACAACGTTGATTTTGCTCATCGAATTAACGTTGAACCAACGTCAGACGCGGCATTCTTCAAAGCTAAATGAAAATCGAAAATTGGTTTGCTTTCATAACGTTGAAACAACGCGTTGATTTCAAGTTGATTTTCCGTTAGTTTTGAAAGAATGACGCGTCTGACGTTGGTTCAACGTTAATTCGATGAGCAAAACAATGTCAGATCAACGTTGTTTCGATGTCATATTTCCACGTTGATTCAATGTCAGTCTGCGATCTGGGTTACCATCCTAAGAAAAGAAAAAGATATGACTTACCTCAATCCCATCCCTAAACTTAACCGTCACTGGGGTTAATGGCATTTATGACTGGAGATTTGACTGCGTGTACAGACACGCGGAATGACGCGGACGTTAATGCGTAGACATACACGCATACACGCGGATACACGCAGATAGTTCAAAATGCGTAAAGATAACACGCCACCTGACTCGAAAGTGGCGTGTATGTTTACGCAAAAGTCATGATGTCATGTTGCGGATTTAATAAATAAAAAGTAAATATAGAAAGTAGATCATAGAAATAGAGAATAGAACTGGAGCTCGTCTCATAAATGAACCGAAACTTGGCGTATAATGTATTACCTCACAGACC